GAAAGAAGGCGGTCCTAGAGGTCTGCTTTATGTGGGAGTTAAATGACAAATCCTGATCAAAGATAACTCCAAGATTCCCGACAGTGGTGCTAGAGGCCAAGTTAATGCCATCTAGAGTGACTATATCTTTAGACAATGAGTCTCTAAGGTTTTTGGGGCCAAGAACAAGAATTTCGTTTTTTTCTGAGTTTAACATCAGAAAATTGCAGGTCATCCAGGATTTTATGTCCGTAAGACATGTTTGTAATTTAGATAATTGATTAATTTCATTGGGTTTGATTGATAGATATAACTGCGTATCATCTGCATAACAGTGAAAGTTAATGGAGTGATTCCTAATAATGTTGCCTAAAGGGAGCATATATAAAGTAAATAGTATTGGTCCAAGTACAGAACCTTGTGGAACTCCATGACTAACTTTAGTATTTATGGAGGATTCATCGTTAACATGTACAAACTGAGAACGATCTGATAAGTATGACTTAAACCAGCTTAGGGCAGTTCCTTTAATGCCAATTTGATGCTCAAGTCTATGTAAAAGAATATCATGGTCAATGGTGTCAAATGCAGCACTAAGATCTAATAATACAAGTACAGAGACAAGTCCATTGTCAGAAGCAGTCAGAAGGTCATTATTAACTTTAACCAGAGCTGTCTCTGTGCTATGATGAACTCTAAATCCTGACTGAAAATCCTCAAATAAACTATTGTTATGTAGAAAGTCACACAACTCTTTGGCGACTACTTTCTCCAGAATATTAGAGAGGAAGGGGAGGTTAGAAATCGGTCTATAGTTGGCTAAAACCCCTTGGTCAAGAGTGGACTTTTTAAGAAGGGGTTTAATTACAGCTACTTGAAAGGACTGTGGTACATATCCTGATAATAAAGAAAGATTAATCATATCCAGTAAAGAAGTGCCAATTAAGGGAACAACTTCTTTAAGCAGCCTAGTTGGGATTGGGTCTAATAGACAGGTTGATGGCTTCGATGAAGAAATGATTGAAGTTAACTGATGAAGATCGATAGCAGAAAAACAGTCGAAATATATATCTAAGTTTACATTGACAGAAGTCCCTGAACTTGGAGAGCCACTGATAACTGTTGATGGCAGTTGGTGATTAATTTTTTCTCTAATAGTAATAATTTTATTATAGAAGAAGCTCATGAAGTCATTGCTACTTAAGTTTATGGGGATATGTGGCTCGATAGAGCTGTGACTCTCTGTCAGCCTGGCTACAGTGCTGAAGAGGAACCTAGGGTTGTTCTTATTTTCTTCTATTAGTGCTGAGTAATAGGCTCCTCTGGCATTACGGAGGGCCTTTCTATAGGTTTTAAGATTATCTTGCCAAATTGAGCAATATTCTGATAATTTGGAAGAGCGCCATTTCCTTTCAGATTTTCTAGCTATTTGTTTTAACTGGCGGGTTTGGTGGTTATACCAGGGTGCTAGTCTCCTATGTTTTAATAATTTCCTTTTTATAGGAGCGATAGAGTCTAATGTTGATCGTAGTGAGCCTGTAGCACTATTGACAAGATTATCAATTTCAGAGGGACTAAAGTCATTATAGGACTCTGTTAAATTCAGACATGGCATTGAATTAAACACTGAAGGAATCTCCTCCTTAAATTTAGCTACAGCACTGTCAGATAGACATCTGCTGTAGGAAGTTTTGCCTAATGGCTTATAATCTAATAGTATGAATTCAAAAGTTATTAAATAATGGTCAGATAGGAAAGGATTATGTGGGAAGACTATTAAATGTTCAATATCAATGCCATATGATAAAACAAGGTCAAGAGTGTGATTAAAACAATGAGTTGGTTTATTTACACTCTGACAGAAGCCAATTGAGTCTATTAATGAGATAAATGCGTTACTAAGGCTGTCATTGTTAACATCCACATGAATATTAAAATCACCTACAATAATTACTTTATCTGATTTAAGGACTAAACTTGATAGAAACTCTGAAAATATATAGATATACAGATATAAAATCAGAGTACGGTCCAGGAGCACGGTACACTATAACAAATAGAACTGGCTGCAGTGTTTTCCAGTTTGGGTGAAAAAGACTAAGAACAAGGCTTTCAAATGAATTATAATTTAGTTTAGGTTTAGGGTCCATTAAAACGCTCGAATCATATATGGCTGCCACTCCACCTCCTCGGCCAGTGCCTCGAGGAATGTGAGTATTAATATGACTGGGGGGGGTGGATTCATTTAGGCTAACATACTCCTCGTGGGACAACCAGGTCTCAGTAAGACAAAGTAAATCAATATCATAATCTGATATTAATTCGTTCACTAAAACAGCTTTAGAGGACAGAGACCTGATATTTAACAGTCCACATTTCATTCTCTTATTTTTGTGCTACTGAGGAGTTGGTTTTAATTTTTATTAGATTTTTATGTTGAACTCCTCTTGTTTTTATTTCTTTAAATAATTTAGGTGGTCGGGGGACAGACACAGTCTCTATGGGGTTTTGGGTGGGTGACTGTTCTAAAGAAAGAGCAGAGAAGTGTGTAAGACAGCAGCTCTGCTTCCTGGTCCTAACTCTGGACTGTCAGGTTTTAGAGATAAACTTCGCCGTATTTTTTAGATAAGAGAGCTGCTCCATCCAAAGTGGGATGGATGCCGTCTCTCCTAATCAGACCAGGTTTTCCCCAAAAGGCTTCCAGTTATCAATGAAGCCCACATCGTTTGCTGGACACCACCTCGACAGCCAGCGGTGGAATGACAACATGCGGCTATACATGTCATCACTGGTCACATTGGGGAGGGGTCAAGAGAAAACTACGGTGTCCGACATTGTCTTAGCATATTTACACACCGACTCCACACTAATCTTAGTGACCTCCGATTGGCGTAAACGGGTGTCGTTACCGCCGACGTGGATAACAATCTTACTGTATTTACGTTTATCTTTAGCCAGCAGTTTTAAATAGGATTCAATGTCGCCCGCTCTGGCCCCAGGGATACATTTAAAAACTACATTACTGCTTTATTCTCCACGCTCAGCAGAGTGGATCCAGTCCTGCAAGTGAACACAGCTGGTATTATCATCTCATAGGAGGACCACTTTAACATTAAAGTGCTACAAGAAAATGCAAAAATATTCTAAAAATATTTCCATTACTAACACCATACTCAACTAGACAATGCAAACTGCAGTTTCTAATCATTTCTATATCATTATTTTATACCACAAAGAAACCCCCAAAGCCTGCTTTCTTCTCATCAACCTTTAGCACAAATTTCTTTATAAGTATCTGGTTAGTAAACCACAGTGAGAGGGCCAGAGAGAGGTGGGATGTAAACTGATGAAGTTGTGAAAAGAGAAGTTTCCTGTTTATTTGTCTAATAAAAAACAGACTGTCTGTACTGATGGTCTCTAATCATCTTCTTTTATAATATCAAAAGGGTTCTACAAGAACTAAACTACTCATTATAAAACGCCTTCTGTATATTACATGTGTACATTTTATATCTACTGTTCACCTAAATATTAAAGGACCAGTTTGTAGGATTTAGAGGCATGAAGCTGTGAAGTTGCAGATTGCAACTAACTGAACACCACTCACATCTGTATTTGATGACCTGTAGAGTCAGTGATTGGTTTGTCTGTTCTGGGCTACTGTAGAAACATGGCGCTTCAACATGGCGGACTCCATGGAAGGTGACCAGCTGTGTCTGTAGATAAAAACAGTCTCATTCTAAGGTAGCAAAAACGATTCCTATATTCAACTGATTATAGACTAAAGAAAAGATACCTATGAATATTATATTCATTTCTGCCAGTAGATTCTTCGACATGTTACACACTGGACCTTTAACCTCCTGTGTGCAGCACATGAAGTCAGTATTTTTACATTTTCTAAATATGTCACTATTGTGATTAATATAATATGTAGCAAAAGGAGATAAAGCGTACAGACTTGTCTTGTGTCATGTTAAAAAACATCTCTGAGTAATTAATTTGCACTCTGATGAGGTTATGATGCAACAAAAGCGGACTTCCTCACTCACAGGGTGCGAACAGGAAGGATGAAGATTTCTTGTATTTCAGCAGTATTTTAATCGTGTGATATCTAGTTTGAAACAAGAAGTCTGTTTGCTTTTATGTTACAGCTGAAATTCACAGATTGTCTGATTTTAAAACGAATTGTTTCTCCGGTTTATCTGCAGGCTCGTTTGGTAAGGTCAAATGTTACTGCTTTTTATGTTTGAACTTTTTAACCCAGAGAGTTTTTATTTGTTGCTTTTCATGAACTCCACTGAAAAAGACATGATATATTTTATTTGTTGGGTTTTGTTTTAGCAGAAATGATCCTCAAAGAAATGAGAAGTTTCTGCAGCAACATTTTATTTGAACTATAATATCATAAAGTCAGACTGGATCATTCTGATTTTATATTGAAACTGTTTTCAGAGCAACTCTGCAGATATTATTCATCACTACTTATAACACAGTAACATCTGGTCGGAAATGGCAAGTTCCTGGTTTGAATGTGTGAATCTGAGGTTGCTTTAAAACAACATGAAGGATTTGTTTAAAAGATGTTTGATAAAAAAAGAATATTGAAAAGTAACTTTTTTTCAGATCCTGGTGATGAGTGTGATTGCAGTCCTGTCTGTGAATATGGTGACAGCCATCATGTTACTGAGTGTCTTCTTTCTTTCAGGTGAGCTGTTTGTTCAGTCACTTTTATTTGGAGACGTTAATCATTTACAGTTTGGACTTCATTTAGAAACAAAGCAGAAAGACCAGTGCAGATAGACTTACTTTTTCCAACTGTTCATGTCCTGACTGCAAAGTGAAATGTTTTATATAGAAATTGTTAACAGGACAGGGGAAAAGACCAGCATGCAACACACTGCTGATTTGTTTATCATGAACTTTCTCTTCATGCTGATTTTTTCCACATTTTGTTCATCATGAGTCTGATTTTACAGGTGCTTTGGATGATTGTCCTCAGAGGTCAAAGCTCTTCATCACTGCACCAAAGAAGATGGAAGCACTGAGTGGATCTTGTTTGCAAATCCCATGTAACTTTAGTGCTAAACCAGAACAAGATTTTAACAGCAGCAGAGAAACCTTTGGAATGTGGATTAAAACTGACTACAGATTTGGCCTAAATCCAAACAATGTGATTTTCAACAGTAGTAAGACAGTTAACACGTATCCAATGAATATTACTGGAAACCTGAGTCAGAAAAACTGCACCACTCTGTTTTCCAGTTTAATCAAAAGTTATACAGACACATACTACTTCAGAATTGAGACTAAACCATTCAGAGCAACAGCTGAATGTGATCGTCTTCAAATAACAGTTAAAGGTAAGAGAGCTTTGTTTCTTTCAGTCAGTCTATAATGTTATTGTTTAGAATAAAAAGTTAAATCAGTTAAAGTTTTGGCCTAAACAGCACACTTTATCAATTTGGAGGTTTTTCACTTTACCATGAATTTAAATTCTGATTAAACACTGAGTCTATTGTTACAGTTTGACATTAAAATGATCAAATGTTGGGACACTGAAATGCAGAACAAACTGTTATTTATACTTATACTGTAAAATGTGTTTGATTTAAACCACAGATTCTCCTCCAAGCCCCAGAATTGAGATCCCAGGTGATCTGAAGGAGAAGCAGTCAGTCACTATAATCTGCTCAGCTTTCACTCCCTGTCCACACTCCCCTCCTAAACTCACCTGGAATCTCCAACAAGACTCTCACAACCAAATAGAGGAAAACACAGATGGAACCTTCACAACTAAAATCCAGGAGAGCATCACTCTGTCAGACCAACATGATGGATACAACATCACCTGTTCTGTCAGATATCCTGTGAATGAAGGAAAAGATAACAAGACAGCAGAGGAGAGAAAGACTCTCAGTGTTTCATGTAAGACAACCAGAGTTTGTTATTGGATCCTGTCAGCACATGATGATTCATGGGATATCAGCTGATTTTTAATGAATAAAGTTAATCTCACATTTTCCTCAGATGCTCCTAAAGACACCTCAGTGTCCATCAGTCCATCAGGTTTGGTGTCAGCAGGTAGCTGGGTGAACCTGACCTGCTCCAGCAGAGCCAAGCCTTCCGTCAGCCGCTTCACCTGGTTCAAGAACAGCAAAGATGGACCCATGATTGTATCTGAAGGACCGTTTTACAGCTTCAATGTGACAGATGGAGGAGTTTATTACTGTGTGGCTACAAATGATCTCGGCAATGAAACGTCATCAATTTGTCTTAATATTAAAGGTAAATACTGAACTGGACTGTGTCCCCTTACTTTGATCTTTGAAAAGTTTCTTCATTACCCTTTAGTTACATGTCTTCTTTTAGTAGTTTCTCATATTTAGTTTGTTTGTATGAACAGAACCACCCAATGGATCTCTACAGTGGGGGCCAGTTCTTGGAGGAATTATTGGGATCATCATGCTCGTCTGCCTGGTTGTCTGTGTTTGGTAAGTATCACAAATTAAAAGCAGCTAATGTAACTCAGTTACTTGTATATTTCAGCTACGCTCACATTCTTGTTAAAGGCACAGATGATTACATGATTTTTACTTCTCTGTACCAACTTCTCAGTCGTCTACATCTTTCTACATTCAGTTTATGTACTTATCCAGATTTCTCTTTAATTGTTTGTTTTACAGCATTCTTGTGCGTTGGAGGCGGGTGAAGTCCACAGATTCAACTCAGCAACAGAATCAGGTGGGAAAATACTAAACTCCTCTGTACAGCACTGCACTATAAATGTGTTGCACCTGCTTACAGTGACTGTGTAGATATATGAAAGCATAAAGGACTGAACATTAAATGGACAATCTATGAGATATTCTTTATAAGTAAAAATGTGAAGAAACAGGAAGTGTGACAAAATATCCTGTTGGCAGATGAAAGTCCACATCCAGATACTAACAACATTTCATGTTTGTGCAGAGTCCAACAGGTGAAGAGCTGACTGTTGCAGAGTCAGCAAGAAAAACAAAAGAAGAGGTAGAAAACATCCATTATGGAGAGATCGACTTCTCCAAGAGGAGACCTGAACCGTCCTCTGACTCAGTGCAGGACAGTGGACAGCAGCAGGAAACACTGTATGCACAGGTCAAAGTGTCTGAGCCAGCAAACAGCTTAACTCACACTGCCGACGGTCCAGAGAATCTCTATGCTCAAGTTAAGAAAACATGAGAACCGTTTTTAAAAGACAAAATAACATTTGTGTAGAATTAATATTTAATGTGCCTTAATGTTTTATGTACACAAGATGTTTGATTTCAGTTGATGTAGACACTGGAGCCTGGATTGTCAGATATCTGCAAATAAAAGTCCCAAAACTCTAAAAAGCTCTAAATAGTCTAAAATTAATAAATGCAAATAAATGCGGGGAATATGACACCAGAAGCAGTTCTGCACACGCATTAGCAGTCTTGTAGTAAGATTATATTTAATTTTGAAATGTTTTTATTTTGTCTTGTAACAGTGCCTTTAACAGGCCTTTAAAAAACATTGTTCTTGTTTTGATATTTATTGTGTATCCCATACATTCATTGGTATTTGCCAAAATTAAGGTTGTTCTTTTAACATTGTTCTTCATTTGAAGACATGTATTTGTTGCATGGCAAAGAAAACCCTTTTATCTAAAATACATAATTATCTTGGCAAAGCCGGAAAGTGACAAAGTACAAAGACTTCATTATTGTACTAAAGTAGTTTTTTGAAGTATCTGTACTTTTTCTGAAGCCTTTTTACATTTACTCCCTACATTTTCTTTCTATGAATATCTATACTTTAAACTCCTTACATTTTTAAAACGGGCTTGTTCCTTTAGTTTTAATGCATTTGAGGAGAATTGTTGATTTTATAAAATTGGGGCATTTGCTATATACTGTATGCCCTTGAAAAGGCAAATACCCTTTTTTGGTAAAATACTGAGTAGCAATTAAATGTCTACATCCCTGGTTCACTAGTGGTACTCTAGCTTCCTCTAGTGGTATGAGAGTCTCAAATATATGTTTTTATATTATTAGCCTACTATCAAAACACAGCAAAAGTTTGAATGAAAATACTTAAAACTCATATTTCTCATAGTATTTTCAAAATGTTGTTGAAATGTAACTTAAAATAACTTAAAATGCATTTCCTGTAATATTTTGTTTTAATATCAGCCAGCATGTATTTATGCACGTAGGGAATGTATATGTCCATGATTAGTTATAAGCTAAAACATTGTGGCAAATGGAAGTTAAATTAATAACACAACCCCTCAGACATGAATTCATCACTAGTCACCATCACAACTAGCCAGAAACAGACATCTGACGTCAGTGTGGTCATCCTGGGCCTGTTGTTTGTATTTGGATGTTTGAGACGACCCTTAGTTCCCTTATTACTGCCATCTTGTGCCCGTATATCAAGAATTATATGAAATAAATGTTATGGTTTGTATTCATTTATCACAGTTTGACAACAATGTTTTATTTTTTATTATCAAGAAATCACATGAAAAGACCAACATCAACAATGAATGTATTCTTCTGACATGTATTGTCTGTGTAGTCACATGATGAAAATCCTGATATTATTCTGTGTTTATGTCTTCATTGTGTTAAACCTGTTTCTTTTCGTTAATAAATTAATGCTTGAACTGATTGGGTTTTAGTTGTTAAACAGTAAAGGTCAGCATGAAATGGAATGTGTTCTTTGACAGGTTAACAGTAAACTGTCCAAAGGCCATGATAAATGACTCATGAATGGCACTTTTTATCTCAACATCACTTCATGAAGGACTGAATTTTGAATTAAAATTGAATACTTTAAATAGTTTTAGCAGCTGGTGATTGAAATGACAAGAAATCAGATTTGAAGAACTAAAAAGAAATGAATGTTTTCAATATTTTTGGAGGATTCTGTGTTTTTTAAACATTTTACATGAACACCTGCAGAATATGTGAGGTTAGGTTATTCCATAGAACACATTTTTTATCATTAGTCTGGATTTACTTTGCATTATACACCCCAAAACACATTCAGTGAATGTCACCTGATGCCTTCTGACAGACCTTGCTTGTCTGTCAAACAACCTGACAGAGCTTGTTGAGTCCCGTGTGGAGGAGTTTAAAGCTATTGCAGGAAGTAAATCCTCCAAAGAGTGTTTGTAAAGAAAAGACTGCGGCGTATTTGACTGGCCTTGCATGTCATTTGGTTGAGTTCATGTTATATGTATATGGAAAAGACTGTTAGAACATGTAACTCCTTGTATCACCAAATCTCTGACAACCTTTGCACGTTGCTGCCACTGACAGAAACGTATAACTTCGAAAATAACAGCTGACTGTACTGAACATTGAATTCTGTGAGAACTGAAGACGTCAGCACCAGCTAAAATGGAAATATGCTCCATTTGCAAACCTTTTGCTGCAATAGTTGCTCTGCCTTTAACCCAATTGTTTTTACCATGTAAAATCGTTTTTTGGGAAAATAAAAAGACATCATCTTTGAGAACACAAGTCCTTAGAAAAGCAGGCAGATTTGCGCTCATCAGTAATGGATGCCAGCCTCTCATCAAGGGAGGGACTCTGGTGTTCCTTTGCCCCCGCCAGTAGCACAAACACTGTGTAAGGCAAAGCACTTTTTTCATGTTGGAACACTTATTTATTTGAGCGATGGTCTGATTTTTTGAGGCAGCAGCATTCACAACATCCGCCACATGCTGCCTTTTTAACATTAGAAATGCCCATCAAATAATGCTTTCTTGTCTCGACCTCTCAAACAAGAACTTCTACTTATATTATTTATTACAAGTGTTTCACTTAGTATTTATGGTCATATAGGGCATTATATTATGTTTGCAAAGATGTGCTGATGTTTGCAAAGATGTGCCAATATTTGAGTTGATTTTTATTTATAAAGAGGATGCAGCCGCCCATCACAACAGATTGATCACGCTACAGGAGAAAGTTGTTACGGTAAGCGCCGTTCAGTGTGTATAGCCCATTTCTTTATGTACTGTTATGTTTATAGTGCAGTGTATAGGAGTAAGTAAAGTATTGAGGGTAAATGTAGTTAGTCTATGTGTTAGTATGTAGTATCACTGGGTAGCCTACTATATATGGATATTATGGAAACCTATCCTAACCGGTACCCGTCCGGGACTTGGTGCTCGGTGATGTTGTGGAGAGAGGTAGCCCTAGAAAACGTGATGGTGGGTATAGACCTATAGTCTCACCTTGAAGTCAGTGACATGTGATTATACATGAAAGAGAACATACCTAAAAATACTTAAACTTGAGCAGTGTTGTTAATGACATTGCTGAGCGAAAGGCCCGTAGGATGAATCTCTAATGGGCGAGTACGGGGATCAGGGATTTAAATGACCTCAGAAAATGTTTTTTTGAAAAGCAATTTGCAATGACATGGCCGACCTGGTGACAGTAATAACATTCCCTTCCCTCTGTCAGCCCACATGGATTAGAGGATCTGGGAGGGGAGGAGAGGAGAGACGTGAGACAGCAGAGACTGGAGAAAAAGCAGATTAATGGGTTAACACATACTCAGCCAGCACAGCGACAGCAGAAAGTGTACCTTCTTTCTGTTCATTCAGGTACACACTAGAGACTGCTGAAGCTCTTCCACTAGAGACTGCTGAAGCTCTTCCACTAGAGACTGCTGAAGCTCTTAAACCAGAGACTGCTGAAGCTTTTGATGACCCCTCCGCCCTCTGGTTGGTCTGTGTCTTTTTTCCCTTTTTCTTCTTCACAGGAGACAAAGTGGCTGGGTGTGGCCATTCAATGGGCTACACCTGGTTCCTCCCTGATCACTAGGCTTTATAGGAGGTTGATCAGTTTGTTGTCTCTCCCTCCTTTCAGCCAGCAGGTCCTGGGTTTGTCGCTGTCTTTGGCTTGATTAATGAATATCCTTTTTCCACACACTCACTGCACTACTGACAATACAGATGTACATATATCTTGTATACTTTGTTTAGTGTGAATATTGTTTAATTAAATTTATTTTTGCCTTAAACACTTCAATTGTCCGTGTGGTCTCCCTTCTTTGTCATGAACTGTGAGCAGC